ACGGTATGACATTGAGCACACTTGGTCTTGAAGATCTTTTCTCCGGCTTTAGGATTACCTGGTGGTGCTTCCCCGAAAGACGCCATTTCTCCGACTTTCTACACACGCAGATGAGAGAGAGAGAGAGAGAGAGAGGGGTTTGGCAGAGAGAAATAAAAAAGGGAAATTCTTCTTCAAATGTGAGGGTTTGATATTAGGGTTCAATAAATACTCTTATAGCTTTTCGGGTTAGTGAAAATAAAAAGTGGAACGTGTCTCGAGGGCCGCGGCACGCGTAGACTGTTTTAAAATGACAAAAACGCCCCTAGCTTGTGTTTATTGACTTCCTTGAATTGTCAACAAAGTTTAATTGTAAGGGCACGCTTGGACAAAACTTTTATTTTTGTTTTTCTTCAAAGTTTTTTTTTTTCCTTCTTCATTCAAGTGAAAATAATTGCCTTTTTCCAAAAAATAATAAATATCGTTTTTCTTAAAATATATGTCCAAAAAGGGACAAACACTTGCAAAAGAACATTTTTTTATACAAGTTTCTCTTCTTCTTACTTCACATATGTTTTTTAATAAATAATCTATAGGTACTTTTTTGTGAAAGTTTTATGCGATAGAATTACATATTGTCATGCCAATGAATAAGACTGAATAAATTTAAAATCATATAAATAATAAAGAGTGAAAAAATATGATAGCCAAGATTAAGATTGTTTTAAATTTCAAGTATCCATTCCCCTAAATTCAAACCAAAAAAAGTAATGTTCAAAATTGACGTTTAGAATATGTTGAGGACTTGAGGTTATATTGCACTTCAAATGTATAAAAATCATCAGTCTCATCATTTTGAAGTTGTTTTTTATTACGTCTATTGAAATATTTTACTAACTTAAAAATGAATTCGATAAACTTCAAATAAAAAGTTGATATGTTGTTCATATTGGCTTCTTCTACTACTATCACTACTACAAAACTCTAGTTTAAAATTGATTAAAAGAAATTCTATATCAATAATTGTTACGTCATATATCAATATATATATTTTGAATGACTCTCATTCTTTTACGCAAAATTTTATGTTATCTTATTAGTTAAACGTTACAACCTCAAGCTTTAACTCAACCTGTTCAATGAACACTTCTAGTAAGTGCAGTGCTTGCTTATGTATGATCAAAAGAATTGTACATAATAAGGTTTATGGTCAGAATTATTTTATTAAATATAATGGATCTAGAATTGTTAAGTTATGTATGTCGGCTAGCCAGCCATATTTCTTCACAACGAAGCAGTGACCAGCAACTTGTTAATATACTAGATAAGGGTGCCCGTGCAAGGCACGGGCATATTGTGGGGATAAAAATAGTTGTAAAGAAAGACGTGAAAAAAAAAGTGCTAAAAGAAAGAAATATTAATTAGCCCTACGTGGGCAGTTTTGATTGGTTTGGCAGTATTAGAGGAGCTCTTTTAAGGAAGGAAATGACGGGAATACCCTTGGTAGTCCAAGGGAAGGCCTACGTCGTCATTTTTGATTGGTTTGGTAGTATTTGAGAGCAGTGGCGGTTTTTCATTGGACTTTTAAGTTGACATACGTAGCGGTTTTTCATTGTTTTCGTTGGACTGAGGAACTCTGACTTAGAATGATGATGATGACTATTTACGGAAGTAGCCTTAAATGTACAGGTGTAAGCTATTTATTGATTTGGTCGGACTGAGAAGCAAATAAGTAAGTAATTAAAGATGTAATACGTGTCTGCCAAAAGAAAAGGCTGCATACACGTGGCTAGGTTTGAGCTGCTTTTGGTATCACTTCTTAAAGCTGTGTTAGTCCCAACCCAATAGTACAACTTGAGCTGCTTTTGGTATCACTTCTTAAAGCTGTGTTAGTCCCAACCCAATAGTACAACTTGAGCTGCTTTTGGTATCACTTCTTAAAGCTGTGTTAGTCCCAACCCAATAGTACAACTTGAGCTGCTTTTGGTATCACTTCTTAAAGCTGTGTTAGTCCAACCCAAGTGTCACTTCTAAATAAGACTAGATAAGGGTGCCCGTGCAAGGCACGGGCTATATTAATTAGTCCTACGTGGCCATTTTTGATTGGTTTGGTAGTATTTGAGAGCAGAAAAAAAGTGCTAAAAGAAAGAAATATTAATTAGCCCTACGTGACCATTTTTGATTGGTTTGGTAGCATTTGACGATATATAGTAAGTTGGTAGTCCAAGGGAACCACCACTTTATGATGATGATATATAGTAAGTTGGTAGTCCAAGGGAACCACCACTTTATGATGATGATATATAGTAAGTTGGTAGTCCAAGGGAACCACCACTTATATAGTATGAAAAAAGTGCTAAAAGAAAGAAATATTAATTCGCCCTATGTGGCCATTTTTGATAGGTTTGGTAGTATTGGTAGGAGCTCTTT